CCAAACAATGAGAGATGTGTGACTTAACGAGCTCAAAACTACTCAATGGTCGTTCATAGCATAACAATGAAGGATTTATCATTTTAATCATTCACTAGCTGGTGTCGAAATCCATTCTCGAGAGCTCCTGGCGACCCACAAGCAGATTCACAGTCGCTTGCTTGGGCAATATGTCTTTCATTTTGCATTTATTCTAGCATTTATTTTTATTTCTTACGAAAGAAAATTGGATATCCATCACAAACAAAAAAACAGCAGTGAACGTTAGAGTTCACATCATTTTTTCCCTCTCAAGCACAGCCCTATTCATTTGACCTTCAATCCAGTGGGTTTTATGGTGTATTTTTGTGTTCTTGTGTATTCTTGAGAGGGAATATTGGCTCATATTTAAACACTTCTTTTAAAAACTTTATTTCCATTCTGTTGATAGATTGTCTTTTCTCATTTGTGGATCCTTTTGTTCTTAGAGTCGTTTGCGGATTTGAAGAAAACACGGAATGTGGATGTGACATTATAAACTTGGGTCAAACTTTGAAAGATAGGGCATTGACAAACGCTTGCAAATTGCCGTGCGAGCTTCCACCGCTGGCCACGGCCTTCCTCGCCTCGATCTTGGCCGCGCCCACATTCGCCCGGATCTCCTTTCCAATCTCTCCGTGCATGAGCTCGTCCACAGCTCTGGCAATCTCCTCTCGCCCCAGGATCCCGTCCCTGGAGTGATCCTTGACCCGCAGCATCAGCTTCCTCTTGGCCAGGAACGAGCAATTGAGGTTCTGCTCCGACAGGCACGGCCACCCGACCATCGCCACGCCCGCGCACATCCCCTCGAGCGCCGAGTTCCATCCGCAGTGCGTGATGAATCCGCCCACCGCGGCGTGGCGGAGGACGCGCATCTGGGGCGCCCACGACACGACGCAAGCGCCATCGCCACTGCGCTCCAGGAACGCATCGAAGATCTCGCGCGGGAACTCGCCATCCACGAGATTGGGCCGTATCGACCAGAGCACGCCCACATTCTTCTCGGCGCAGCAGTGATCCAGCGCGTGGAGGAGCTCCTGGAACTGATCGCTGGGCATGACCGCGATGCTCCCAAACGCGACGTAGAGCACCGAGGAGTTGGGTCGCGAATCCAGCCATTCCAGGCAGCGGAGATCCTCGCTAGAGAGCGCGGCGCGGAGGTCTTCCTGGCCGCCATCGCCAGAGCCATGCATGTGCTCGTCGGGGAGAAAGGGGCCGATTGGGAGGTAGTTCTTGACGCCGTAGTGGTGGTGGAAGATCGAGACGATGTCCGGCTCCAGCGCCTGGAACGTCCCCGAGAGGATCCAATCGGCCTGGAAGAGACGCTCGTAGGGCGGCTCGAAGAAGGGGATGATCGGGTGCTCCTCGTACCAGGCCAGGGGAAGATCAAATGGCGAGAACGATGGGATTCCAGGGAAGAACTCGATCGTCTTGTCTCCAGTGGTGCGATCTGGGAGAGATCCAAGTTAACATCACGAGAAAGATCTTCGAGAACTCACTCTTGACCGGGACGAATCCCTCGGATCGAAGCCTCCTCATGTGGAGCGTGACGAGATCAAAGGTCGCAGAGGTCGTGGAGAATGCCACTCTCACGAGCTTGAATCTGGTGGCAATGTCCTGGATCCAGTGGAGGAAAAGGTCGGAGATGATCGCCTTGATTGGAATCCCTCGCTCATGGATCATCGATTCCAGCAGCTCCTCCACGCCGCGCTGCAATCCGTCGCTGGATTTGATCACCTCCTTCAGTCCCTCCATCCCGGGGGGAGGATGATCGTTGGCACCGCGCTCCGGCATCCCGTCCGAGACTCCCACGAAATCGATGCCCTCGCGGGTGATGGGCTCCCGCGACTTGAACATCCGCTCGTGATTCTCAAAGGTGTTGATGAATGTGATCTGGAAGGAGCCCAGCGCGGCGAGCTTGGAGCAGAGATGGAGGAGCGGATTTACGTGACCTGGGATCACCCATGGAACCGCGACCAAATGGACTAGTTCTTGCGGAGGAGACGATGATCCCATTGCTTGTGCAGGCACAATGAAAATCTTGTGGTGCGCGGAGCTCTTATCCCGATATTAAAGGTGAATGCTACAAGACACACAACATGCTAGAAACGCGAAAACGTCAAAATAATAATCATCTGTCCTGAAAAAGGTGGTGGGAGTATATTCCAGTATATGTTCTCATCTAACGGCTCACATCGTTCTAGATTGAGTTTATGATTTGGGTAAATTCAGTTTAAACATCTTTTTAACATTTTGGGGCGGTTCACATTATTCTAGATTGATTTAGTATATTCTTGTTATTTCATGTCTTGGTTTTGTAGATAAGTTGATAAGTTGTTAAGTTATAATCATTGGGAAATTAAAACATAAAACACGAAACTAAGCTAGTATTAGCATATTCTAGGTATATTCATTTCTTCCAAGGGCAAAAGGTTGATATTTTCATCTCTGTTTCTAGGGTTCTTAGATCGCACGCAATGCTATGGCGTCTTCCTAGCCACTCGTGAGGTAATCCACTCCGGGAGGGCAACGCATTCACGCCAGACTTTACTATGGCGGCATCGGCAGCGTCGGCGGCGGTGCTCGCGTCTCCATTCCTCCAAGGGACTCTCCGCCATGGCAACTATCTCCAGGTTTGCCATACCCAGCAATCCAGGAGCCATGTCCATAGCCCTAGCTCTAGAATCCAGGCGCTGGCGCTAGCCACGCACAGCGGCGGCGATCCGGCAGCTCCAAGTCCCGTGAAAAGATTGATTCTCAAAGGCATTGCTGGCGCGGCAGCGATTCTCGTCGCGGTGTCGCCGGCATTGGCCGCTGGCGAGGATTTGATGCTCGAGCAGGGCCAGCAGCAAGCAACGTCGTCGCGGATGTCCTACACGCGATTCCTCGAGTACCTGGACAAGGATAAGATACGAAAGGTGGATCTCTACGACAATGGCATGGTGGCGATCGTCGAGGCAGTGGCTCCAGAGCTTGGAAACCGGGTACAAAGAGTGAGAGTCCAGCTTCCAGGGCTTCCCGAGGAGCTCATCCGGAAGATCAAGGCGAAGAACGTCGACTTTGCTGCTCACATCCCGCAAGAGGATCCTGGCAACGTGGTGCTCAACATTATCAGCAACTTAGCGTTCCCGGTGCTGCTCCTCGGGGGTCTCTACTTCTTGTCGAGGAGAACTATCGGGGGACCTGGGAATCCAAACAATCCTTTCAACTTTGGAAAGTCCAAGGCCAAGTTCCAGATGGAGCCGAACACTGGGGTGACTTTCAACGACGTTGCCGGTGTCGATGAAGCCAAGCAGGACTTTATGGAGGTGGTGGAGTTTCTCAAGAGGCCAGAGAGGTTTACTGCCGTTGGTGCTAAGATTCCGAAGGGAGTTTTGCTGGTCGGGCCGCCTGGTACTGGGAAAACGTTGCTTGCTAAAGCTATTGCTGGAGAGGCCGGTGTTCCGTTCTTCTCGATCTCGGGGTCGGAGTTTGTGGAGGTTTTCGTCGGGATTGGAGCGTCCAGGGTCCGTGACTTGTTCAAGAAAGCCAAGGAAAATGCTCCTTGCATTGTTTTCGTTGACGAGATTGATGCGGTTGGCCGGCAGCGAGGCACCGGAATCGGAGGTGGAAACGACGAAAGGGAACAAACTTTGAACCAGCTGCTCACTGAAATGGATGGATTCGAGGGCAACACAGGAGTAATAGTCGTTGCTGCTACAAACAGGGCTGACATCCTTGATGCCGCATTGCTGAGGCCAGGAAGATTTGATCGACAGGTAACTCGAGTGTTGGCATTCTGCCTTACCTTCTTCTCTTTTCTTATTTCAGGTGTCTGTCGACGTCCCCGACGTGAAAGGAAGGACAGAAATTCTCAGAGTTCATTCTGGGAATAAGAAGTTTGACGGTGATGTGTCTTTGGAAGTGATTGCCATGAGAACACCGGGTTTCAGCGGTGCCGATCTTGCTAATCTTCTGAACGAGGCAGCTATTCTAGCAGGGCGGAGAGGCAAGACAGCAATCTCAGCCAAGGAGATAGATGACTCTATCGACAGAATCGTCGCGGGAATGGAAGGAACTACGATGACCGACGGCAAAACTAAGAGCCTTGTTGCTTATCACGAAGTTGGACATGCTGTGTGCGGGTAAGATTGGTCACTTTTGTTCGTTTCTTTGGCATCAAATACTGACGCAGGCTTTTCCTGTTTAACAAGGACTCTGACGCCAGGACATGACCCGGTACAGAAAGTTACGTTGATACCACGAGGCCAGGCTCGGGGCCTTACATGGTTTCTTCCGGGAGAGGACCCCACTTTGATCTCCAAGCAGCAGATTTTTGCGAGAATCGTTGGTGCTCTCGGAGGCAGAGCCGCAGAAGAGATCGTGTTTGGCAGTCCGGAAGTCACAACTGGTGCTGCGAGCGATTTGCAACAGGTTGCTTCGATGGCCAAACAAGTAAGCTGTTTCATTGGAATTGCTTTCCAAGTTCCAACTCTCGGAACTTTTGACTGCTTTACGCAGATGGTCACGGTGTTTGGAATGTCAGAAATTGGGCCATGGGCTCTGATAGATCCTGCTGTTCAAGGTGGTGACGTGATCTTACGTATGATGGCCCGGAACTCCATGTCCGAGAAGCTAGCCGAGGACATAGATCGGTCCATAAAGGCCATCTCGGACAAGGCGTACGAGATTGCTCTCGGCCATATTCGTAACAATCGCGCCGCTATAGACAAGATCGTGGAGGTTCTGGTTGAGAAAGAAACCATGACAGGCGACGAATTCAGAGCCATCCTATCCGAGTTCACAGAGATCCCCGCCGAGAACAAGGCCGCTTTGTCTACGCCGACTCCGGTTGGAGTATGAAGCACGCACAACACCACCATTGTCCAAGTAAGTCGTGCACTTTTAAACGCGTATATAATATTCTTTGGTGTGGGAGACATGTACAGAGATGTGGGATTTCTTTCCTTCCCACTTGGAAGCCATATATCTTTTAAGTTATTTCTCTCGGACCTCTTGGTATCAAACAAAATTGGAGACGCTCAAGCTCTCTCGCTTTTCAAACGAACTCTCGGTTACCAGCGCGAACGTGAACCAAACATAGACTGCGCACAAACAAAAAACGAGCCGTCACCTTTCAACTTAGAGAACGAACCGAAGAAACCAGACGAAAGAAACAAAAGAAAATTCGTTATGGAGAAGATCGTACCTTAAGAGCGCCTTTGTTCTTCCGGCTGGACTCGGCATCGGCTTGGATGATCCGCAGCAAGAGTTGAGATGGATCTCTTCTGGCACAACGAGGCGAAGGACTGCACGGCTCGGAGGAGAGCTCGTCTGAGTCCCGGTAGAAGCCGCCATCGTCGTCCTCCTCGATGCTACAGAACCGCGACGCTGGCCTCGACGAGAAACGGGACAGAGCAGGACTCGTCGGCGATGGCGAAGCAACCACGAGTTCATCGTCCTCTTCCTCGTCAACTTCCGGACCATCCTCGGCCTTCTCCGGCTCGACTTCTTCCTCGACACAGGCGAACCTCACCTTCTTCAAGCACTTCTTGGAGTTCTTCCCCGACTTGAGAGCGCTGGGGAGCGGTGGCACTGGCACTGCCGAGCGAGCGAGCTGCTTGACGCCGAGCAGCGAGGGAGAGTCGCACGACTCGACGCGGAACCTGTCCGAGTGGTAGTAGAAGTTTTTGGCGAAGAACTCGCGGCTGGCGGCGGCAGCGAAGTCGAAGCCACCGCCGTACTCGTCGTCGTCCGAGGCGTAACCGAAGAGCTTGACTTCGTCGCAGGAATCAAAGCTCGTCTGAAACTCGTGGTCGTGGCGGGGGACGTGCAAGATTTGATGGTGGTGAGAGGAGGAGTCACTGCTGGAGAAGCTACCGAGCGAGTTGTCCGTGCTGCTGCCGGGGCTCTCCAGGTCGCTGGAAGAAGAGGACGAGCTTGTCACGGGCGAGGCAATGCTCTTGCTACTAGTCGCAGTGCTAGAACCAGAGCTCTGGATTGGAAACTCGCTACTACTCGCAGTGCTAGAGCCACCGGAGCTCTGGAGTGGAAACTCGTCACGGAAAAAGCCAGGGACAGGACTTCTCGGGAACTCGGAGCTGGATCCTCCACCGCCATACCAGAGCTCGAGGAGCATGCTGGACATGTTCTTGAAAGGCATCGATCCCGCCGGCGCTGGTGGTGGTGGATGCTTCGGATGGTGATGAAGATCGAGAAGCTCTCCCTCGAAGACTATATCGTTGCTGGAGCAACACCTCGAAACGCAGCACCGGCGGTCCACCAGTTCTTCCTCGACGCGACGATCCAACTCCTGGACTACCTTTCCGGATTCACACTCCCACAGGCTCGAGCGCTGCTGCTGCTGCTGCTCCGAGAAGATCTTCCTGGGCGATGCCAGCTTCCCCTGGAGCAAGCTTTTCATCTTGCGGGACAGGGAAATGGATCTGGGAGAGCGAGGAGAGCTGAGCGCCGGCCCAGCTTTTCTACCAGTGCTGCTGCTTATCACCATCAATCGCGGGGGTGGAGCAAGAGAGGAGGAGGAGGAGGAGGAGGAAGATGGCGATGGCGATGGCGACGGGGAGGCGCTCCCGGGATGATCACTCTGTTGGAGATCCTTTTCGACCACCGTCGCCCGGTCAGCAGTTGGTGGTGGTGGGCTCTTCTTCGCCAACAGCTCCTCGTCTCTCCTCCAGCGATGCTGGTGTTCTTGGCGATCGAGCTTTTGTTTGGGAACACCTGGCTCGAGCTCCCATTTGAAAGGGACGGCGATCACAGGGCTCTCAAATCCGCCGCTGTTGGGAGGCGCAGTCGCCCACCTCGATTTCTCGTCGTTTGGGGGGTCCTCTTCCACGAACAGAGGGTGTTGGAGTGGAAGCTTTCCCGGTGGGTAGACCCTCCTATTCGATCGACTCATGTCTTTCTTTTCTCCTTTCTTCTTGCCTCCAATTCAAATCCTCTCTATGAATCTTTCCTCGTTTGGTAATCGATCGATGGATCGGCTAAGCTAATCCCACCACCGCCAATCCCTTGTCCCTGCATTCTTCGATCTTCATCACTATGGATTCATCGCAGTCTAGCATCCTCCCCACCAGTTTGACTTTTTGGAAAACTCTCAACATCACTACTGTGAGAAAGAAAAAAGGCGGAGGATCGATCACAGCAGTGGCACAAGCGCCACCACCCTCCAACAAACAGTGGAAAAAAAGCCAAGCGAGAAAAAGGTTCTTGAAAATGTGAGCCACGCAAGAACCCTAAAAGTTGGAGCGCGAGATTATATTATATCCCACCCCGCCACCCCGGCCAACGTCATCCTACGTGACCGCTAAATTTGCCAGGCGGGGCCCCCAAAAAATGCAACCTTGGAATACAAATGTTTGACAACATGGTTGTCTATTTTTTCTTTCCATTGTTTCAAAGTGCTTTCTTTTTTTCTTTTTTTTTCTTCCTGCTCTTGCTCTCACGACGTCCGTCCACACTCCTGCTTGATTCGTTCGTTAAATTTGTTGCTCGCTCGCTTGTTTTGTTCTCTTTCGGTTCTTGGAAACTTTCGAGCCCATTTTTTGACAATCTCGGCACGCGAACATGGGCAAGTCACATGCAAGTTTGGAAATATCACGCCAGTGGACTAAGGAAAAATCTTTATTTGCGCACCACCACCTTTTGTCAAAGTTCCAAGCCCTAGATCGGACGGCTCGCATGGCACCCGCGTTTTGCGTCATGCTTTGCTATCTCCTCCACTTTCTGTAATGGGTCGGTTTGAGGTCGATTGATACCATCATGGGCTTCTAGAAAAATTTAAGCAAAAAAGAGAATTCAATAGTCAATCGAACTCTAGATTGAAAAGCGATTGCTGCTTACCTTTAAGATGCATTGAATTCTCCAATCTCCAACCAAGGGAGTGTTTGTTCTTCTTCTCTTTCTTTTTAGCACGCAGCAGTCATGATGCGCACATTGGTTGGGTCTTTTTCTTGATCATAACCCACTAATCTTTGGTTGGGCCCCTGGGAGCGAATGTCTGATCACGATCCTGCGAGAAACCACGCCGCAAAGTCCGTGAGCACTCAGTGGCTTCGAGCAGCCGGGAAAGAGAAAGAAAGTAAAGGAAAGAAACAAGCAAAGTACCTGATACACCACCGTTTCACTCGACTAAAAAGTGCCTGTAGAGCTCCTCTGGACGGCATTTTTGCCCCGGCTTGAGCGAAAGCTTCAGCACTCCACTGGCAGATGGAGCCGAGACTGTAGATGGGTGGAGGATGTGAGCCACAAGCTCCATTCCCTCCACCACCCTCAAACCGGGTTGGCTGAAGTATGATCCGTCGCAAATGTAGACTTGTCGAGACTCCACCGCCGGCACGGACCAAAACCCCGGCTGTCTGGCGAGCTTGTGCACCTGGAAGCACGAAAATCAGCAGACAAAGATATGGGGAATCGTAAACAAGTACCTCGGACAATGTCTGCTCGACGGATGTGGAACAAGGAGCCAGAATAATAAACTCGGGAGCGTAGGATGTGATACGTTGCCAGTGTAGCCTCTCAGACGCACAGCCTGGTTTTTGCAAGCCGTCGTAGGCACCGGACAGGATTTCCATCTCCGCAATCCATCGGCCCCCGAGAGTAAGCGGATCGAGGCCTTGAAGGAGAAGCAGTCTCGGCTGGTGATGGACAGCCACACTAGCAGCGATTCTTCTCAAGCGGAGTCGGAGGGAGTTTATAAGTTGGCAGGCTTCCTTGTACAAACCCAGCATGTCCGCAAGATCCATGATGAACGCCCAGATATCAGATAACTAAGGAGTGAAAATCAGCACCGACTTATGGAGAGCTAGATTTCCTCGTACCGTGTGTGGATTTACAACGAACAGCCTCGTATCTTGGAGGCCTGCTCTGGTAATCTCTTCAGTCACGTCTTTGCTATCCATGTAGCACAGAGAGCACACTTTCTGCATGAACAAAAGCCTCACGTTATGACATTCTCAAAAGAAATTTTCTAACCTGAGTGATAATTAAATGAGGCTTGGTCTTCGAAAGCCATGGGAGATCGAGTTTGTACGACAACTCATTCTCCTTCCCAATGCTGGATCGCTGCTGGTTGCGACACACCTGCAATATACGTTTTCATGAACATAGTAAAAAAACCTTTCAAGCGCAAAACACGACACTTACAATATGTCGTCCCATTCTGACTCCAGCCGGCTTATCACACGCATCGGTCACCCCAAGCAAACGGTGTCCAGCCCCTGCCAGAAACTAAAAGCGTGTGTCACAGTACAACTTTACTAGAAATACAAGGAAACTTTACCAAGCTTAAGAAGGATCTCCGTAGCCACTGGAAAGAGCGACACGATCTTGTGTGGTATCACTTTCACGTTGAAAGGCACATAAATGCCTTGATTCGGGTCCATTCTTCTTGTCGTCGTCACTAAACACTGTCGCCCAGCTGCTCGACCCTCCTCACTTATGAACTGATCATCCATCGACGTGACAGCCTCTGTAAGATCTTGTGGGGACAAAGCATCCTGTCCGCGAGCATCCCAAACCTCGGATTTAGACCTTGCAATCCTGGCAGAAGAGCCATCCTCAGTCGTCTCTTTGATGTCAACTTCGATGTCGGGACACTCCTCGTCGATAGTAAGGCGTGTGTAAACAGGACTTGAACTGAGAGACCTTGTATGTCTCCTAAACGGATCTCTTCCGCGCTCACTCCACTCACCACTAGATAGCTTGCCGTGAAACTTTGTGCGTTCCATACGGGAAGGGGACATCTCCCTCGATTCTCCGAGGGCCGCTGTCACAGCTCTTGCTGCAGCCGAGCCAGCGGCCGCTGCTGCTGCTGGGCCGGCATGCGCTACTGCAGAAGCAGAAGCAGCGGCAACGGCAGCAGCTTTGGACGAATCCATTCTGGAAGATTTTTCAGCCATAAGTCAGAAGTTAGGAGCAAAAGGCGAATGAGCAAACCTGCAGCGCTCTATGAGAGCGTGAACTATAGCCGGGTTGCTGCCGAAATGAAGCCGCGCAAACGTAGCCATTGCATTTCCTTGCATGTAGCCTTCTACTTCTTCCATCTTTTCTGAGGTTTCATACTTCAACACGAACCTGTCGCAATTCACAAAATCAAAATGACAATAAACAAACAAATAAACTGGCGTACCCTCTCGGACAGATGTTTATACCATCTGCCTGCAGCCAAAAGACCTCGCTACAGTTTAACATGTATCCGCGAATTTCGCCAATATGAGGAGGAAACAATACGCAACTTTCTTGTGTTGTTGCCTGTTTATTCTTGATAATGTCGAACGAAGAAGCAAATAATGAAAACCAAACAAACCTTGACATATTCTTTTGTTGTCGCTCCTAATTTCATTCGTGTCCAAAAAGGAAAAACGCCGCACATAGTGAACGGCTGGTGCTTGTCTGTCTGCAAGGACAACGTCATTCTGCACCACGCAAGAACTAACATTTGGACACCATACCTCGATGCCTTGTGACAAGTACATAGCGCCTCCAGCTTCTCCATAGATAATTCCTCCGGCATCAGCGAATGCTCGCACCGCGTAGAGGAGTTTCTTGTTCAGAGATAGCTTCTCCAAGTGATGCTTCAAATAGCCACCTCCAAAGATAATAGCATCCAGTCTCGTCGGGAGGGAGTCCTTCAAAGGTGAAAAGAAAACTATTTCTGCTCCGGCGTCTGTCAGAAGGACAAGAAATCCGCAACTTAAGAGAGAAAAACGAAATAATTACCTTGAAGCAACGAGAGATTCTCCTGGTAATAGAGGCAAAAGGCAGCATCCCTCGCGACTCCGATGCGGACTTTGGCATAAGGCAGCGCTGAACGGATGTTTTCCAAGTAAAAGTTCGGGCCACCCTTTGGCTTCCACACACCGGCAGCCTCTAACAGACCATCCAAGTCGACGTGATGCTCAATCAAATCGGCAAAAACTTGAATGTAGCTCGCCGGTACTGCTTCTTCACCACTCAGGCTCGGGTAGAACTGATTCTCAGCCAAATGCAAGCCGTCTACGATAGGAATGCCACCGAGAACTTTAACGCTTGAATCGATGGCAGACACAGCTTCCATAAGCCAAGCCTTGTGAGCGGAGCTCTCCAGCTACATAGAAGAAAACAAGAAAAAAGATAAACTAGGAACGAGAAAACTTAGTAGCAAACCTTGTTGAAGATAATTCCAGCAAAGGTGACTTCTGGATCGAAAGCGGTGTATCCTCGAATCAAAGCTGCGGCACTTCGAGCAAATCCTCTGGTATCAAGCACGAGAAGAACCGGAGCTCCCAAAATCTTGGCCATTTCGGCAGTGCTTCCGGCCTCGGATTTCCCATCGCGGCCATCAAACATTCCAAAGACTCCTTCCACGATTGCAACGTCAGTAGCTGGAGCGCATCGAATGAAGCACGCTTGGTTCGCCTCTCTGGAGAATACAAAGGGATATCAAAATTCGCGAAGAGTTCTTGGGATTTTCACTCGCCTGCTCATCATCCAGCTATCCAGATTGTAAGAATCGTGCCCCGTCGCGGCCTTGTGATGCATTGGATCCGAGAAATCTAGAGCGCGGAGGAGGTAGGAATCTTAGAGCTCAAGAGCATTTATCACTCACCGGGGCCAATCTTGAATGGATGGACGCGAAGGCCGCGGCGCGTGTAGGCCGCCATGAGGCCGAGCGCGATGCTGCTCTTGCCCGCCCCGCTGCATGTCCCCGCCACAACGATCGCCCTCATCGCATTCTCACACTCCAAGTTTTAGGGTTTCTATTGGAATATGGAAATGAAATACAGAAATGTACGGCTACGATGCTGTATACTTAGACTTCACATTTTTAATTTTAATAAATGATAATAAGAATGCTAAGTAGCATTTAAAAAATATTTTTTTTATCATAAATGCTCTTGAAATTTATAATGCACTAATAAAAAAATTTATTTTCAACTTAACATATAATATTTTGAAAGTATGTTATTGCTATGCTAAGATATATAAAAACATAATGATTAGTGTATTTTCTCCATAAACTTAAAATTTTTTTATTGAGTTTTAAGATGTTATGAGGATTCATAATGACTTATCCTTTATAAACATAAACTTAATTTTTAAGTTTTTACACATATTTTATGTTAGCAATAGTAAGTAATATTCCATCCATTCTTTTAAAATTTCCACCATTTGATTCCGAATAATCACTAAATATTTTTCCAAGTTTTTACCACATAAATCTTAATAACTTTTTGCTATTTAAATTACTTCAAATTTGGTTTCAAAGTCAAATGGAGTTTCACATATTTAATCCTTAAGCTTCAAATATAATTTACAAAAATAATACAAATATATAAAGTGTTTATATATTGTTCAAATTCGGGTTCTTGTTTCATTATATTATTGCACTCTGAGAGCTCCTCTATAGCATAATTGAGTATTTAAGATTTATTTATTCCAAAATACCAAAGTTGGCAGCAAGCTTGAAAAGCTCTGCTAGCGAATGCGTTCCTCCATCATGCACTGGAGTTCTTGCCTTTTAGTCTTGCTTGCCAGTCATTACCTCTTAATATATTCCACCATGCTGCATGCTCCTGCTGAGGACAGCTTTGGGCCTTTCGAAACTCCTCCATGTAGATCTGCTCCACGAAACACGAGCAGAACTCGTGCTCTGATACAGAGTACCTTGGATCCTTATCGATCGTTTGCGCTTTCCCGTGGAAGTTGCATATAGCTTCTGCATTGTCCAACATTCGCACGACTTGCTGGACTGATCTGCGGACGAAAGACATTGTTCGTCCGTTGATAAACTCCAGGAGCACCCTCTGCCAATCTTCCTCGTCTTTCAAAAGTAAAGAGACTTCATGTGGCTCCAGCTCAACCGGTGGAGCAAGTCTCACGGTGTCCCCCCACAAAAGCCTTGATTTGCGTCCGCCTGCCTGCTTGATCCGAGCTATCTCCATGCAAGCCCCATCCAGCTCATCCAGAAACTGGGGATGGAAACCAGCGAAGAAATCCATGTCCTTGGTCCGCTGCACATCACCAGCTACGACGGCTCCCAGCACGGAGTGAAGAAGAAAGACTTCCCTTTGTTCCTGCAGCCGGGATTTAGTTGGCGAGCACGAGAAGTATAGAAACGACCAAACCTTGGTAAAACCTCCGACACAATAGATCGCTACTCGCTCCGAGTCGGCGGCCTCTGCCTGGCGCGCTTCCGGGGACGCGCCCCACACGATTTTGTAGGGAGAAACGATGGCTTCGAGCGTCAACAAGGTATCTTTCAGCTCCTTAGAGCCCACTTTTTTGGTGCCACTGTAATCGCGAGTATCCAGAGCCTCGGCACCGTCAGCAACGAATGTAAAATCGTCACCAGCGGCTGCCCTCTCCCTGAGAAACTCTTGAAGCCTCGCTACGCTCACGCCCATCCTCCAAAGAGCCTCGAGAGCCTCGAGAACCGGCTTGTGCTCGTCCGCGCCCGAGTATGCAAAGCGTAGCCCATCAAGCAGCCGTCGCAGCAACACAGCCGGCGAGCTGGCACTCTCCAAGTTCCACACGCAAACGATCACACTCTTCTCCGGGCCACGCGCATAGAGCGCGGCAGCCATTGCCCTTAACCGGCAGCTTTTGCCGGTGCCCTTGGGACCGACAACAACAAGCTCTTGCCCGGGTTCGAGAGACAGGCAGTGCCACAGCAATTCATCCATGTCCGGTGACCCCACGAAAAGAAAAGAGCCTCGATTACGAGCGTCCATGTAAGGAACAATGGTCACCTGGTTGGGCTTGACCAGATCCTTGCAATTTAGCGCCTTGATCTGCTGCCAGGATTCCCCTGTATCATACCCGGCTACGCGCCGCCGTTTCCTCGCAGCCTCTGCTCTCTCCATGAATGCCCTAACCTTTTAACCATGCAAAGGACTTCATAAAAGCGGATATTCCAATATGCTCAAAGGGTTTGTTAAAATTTCCCGCCAAGGGCGCCATAGCTGGGACAAATGTCATAGCTCCACCCAGTTCTCACAATTTTTACAGAAATCCTCACACGCTTTCATATACTTTTTTTGAGGTTAGATTCTTGAATGAATTTTGCCCCGCTCTTTCTTTTCCACATACATATCCATCTTGTTTTTTGTCAAGTGATCTTTGGGGGAATTTTTCAATGTCCATGGTCACCATAGTCACTTAAATTAAGTATACACCATGTTGGCTAGAGCTTGCTGTTTGTAGGTGGCCTTCAAGGTTGCCTAGACATCATAGGCCTTTGTGCAACGTGAAACATTGCAACAATAGTAGCCTGGAAAAGTTTTTCAAAAGCTTTACCCATCGTGCATGTTCATCTTGTGGTGCCGCTAGAGGCTCCAGATCTGCTTCACTAACGCCCCACAAACCTCACTTGTCCAAGGAAAAGTCTGCCGTGGAAAGTTTTGGGGCACCAGCTATTGTACACTAAAGAAATCTTGAATTTCACTCTTTGTGAAATAATAATAAAACTTCAATGTATAAATATAATCATAGGCAACTGATGTGGCAATCTTGGATTAAAGGCATGGCCATTTTAAATAATGATCTAAGAAGTGAAAATTATAATCTTGAAACTCACCCATTCAAGAATTACAACTTTAAAACTCAAAAATCCAACATTGAAAGGAATCACAAGCATGAAGTAGAACAATTTAAGAAATTTAAATACCAAACTTGAGATTTTAACATAAACAAAACAAACAATCAAGATCAAAATTCTAACAAGCCACCAGAGCTTAGTTAAGGAGATGATACAAAAGGCGACAAACTCACCTTGTCTCTTGAAGGTATTATATAAGCTTGTGAAAATGTTGGGACACTTGATGTGAAGCCTACAAATCACACTTATGCTTTTTACTTGAAACAATCCCATCTGAATCTCCCATTGCAATTCTTCTTTTACTCCTACAAAAGTGCTAATTGAAATGCCTATGGATGAGGCCATGTTACCAAAAAACTTTGTAGTTGGATTCAAGAAGACTAGATAATATCCTATGCATCTAACATCAATGGATCCTTGGAAATGTGAAAGACAATTTCAATCATGTACCAAAAAAGAGCTCTCATCTTTTTTTATTTGTTTGTATGCAAATCTCAATAGTAGGAATGACATCTTGGGGATATTTCTTCTTGCCATGGGCTTGGGAGAAGATATTGAGAACTTAAGCATTGGAAGAGAAGATCCACCACCAATAGCTTTACATTTGATGATATTTGTCATGCATTAATCACAAATTCATGTGTGATAACAATTTGTCTTGATACCTTATGGGGCATCTCTCACCAATGACAAGTATATTTTATGTTTGGAGACAAAAGAGAAAGCAAAGCAAGCCAAGGCATCAGGAAAAAGAAATAAATAAGCAGCTAAATTGAAAAATAAAACATAATTTAAATAACACTAAAAAAAGTACAAGAGGGTATTTGACAAAGTGTAATTTTTACATACTAGAAGTGTTCTTTCACTACAAGTTTAAAATGCTCCAAAAAAAATGGTAGCAATATAGTAATTAGAAATACTTAAACTAAGTAATATTTGGCTCTATCCAAAAATCTGAGTACATAGAAAGTAAAAATTAAAATATTATTCTTTTGTTCAAAGTAAATTTTAAATATCAAAATCTTAGGAATAAGAGTTCTTATTGACTATTACTTGCAAGAACCTTTTAATCTAATCCAATTCCATTATTTACAACTCATTTCAGCTTGTTGCTTTTTTCCCATTTCAAATTTAAAATTTTACATAATAATTTATATTATCATTTATTTCCAAATAACTTATTACACTCAAAAGTACAAGGATAAAATGTTTTTCTTCAACTTAATATATTTTAAAAGCATTTTAGAAGAAATAATATGTGTATTATGCATTCTTAATTTTCATAAATATTATTTTGTTATGCTATTTTTATGCTAAGATATATAAAGCATAATGATTAATACATATTTTTTCCATGATTTAAAGTTGTATATATGCAAACTTAAAAAATAATTATTGAGTTTTAAGATGTTTATAAGCCTCATAAACATCTTGAAACTCAATCAATTTTTTTAAAATTTTGGATTCATAATGAATTTTACTTTATAGATATAAAATTAATTTTTGAGTTTTACATGTATTTAATAATATACTTGTTAGCAATAATAATATTCTATCCATCCTTTAAAATTTTTACCATTTGATTCCAAATTATTATTAAACTTTTTAAAAAAATTCTACCACAAAAATTTTAATAAATTTTTACTATTTAAACTACTTTAACCTTCAATTTAGTTTTGAAATAATCCAATCAAGAGAGCTTATTGACAAATCCTCCAAATATTTTAGTCTCTTCTAACTGCTTTCTTTTCACAATTGAAAAATATGATGATCAAGCCAAGGAAGATTCAGTTGCAATGCGTGAATCGAACATGACAAACTGTCCATTTAGAGATCACTCACATGTAGTTTTGTAACTAAAATATACAATAGATTCATATATAAATTACAAAAACAATACAAATACATAATGTATTCATTTAAAGCTCAAAAAAATATTAAAGGTAATTTACTAAAAATTAATTTAAGTATTCAAGTAGTCAGGTGGTAGGGATACTAGAGAATATAATCTTTTTTTCTGTTAAAACATATTTATTTACCATTATCTTATATATATATATATATGATTTTTTTAATTCAAGTAATCCTCAATTAATATTAATAACATTTTAACTTATCACTATAGCCTAACAACTTTATAATTCATTATTAGGGTTTAAGTACAAAATTTAAAAATATTAGCAATATACAAGGTGTTTTAAAAATGATTCACTCAAACTTAAATCCTTTGTTCATATTGTGTAGCACATTAAAAAATACTTAAGTTAAGGTGATAACTTTTTCTTTTAAGACATATCTTTTTAGGGACAAATTTTTACTTGACCTAAATTTAAGTTAAAAATGTACCGAAAACATTTTAATTATACTCAAATGCTATAAAAGGTACGGGGCACAATTTGTGGGATCCATTTCAAGTATATTCTTGGAAGCCAAAGATGCCCTCTTGGATCTGTCACTAAAACGCTTGCAAGATGTGAGGAGCGATCCCCACGTAGCCACTTGGGACTCAAATGGCATGTTGTTTATGAGCTCTTCCGCTGCTGCTATTCTCCCCGCTCGTCCCAAAGTGTCCACCATCGCATTGTAGTGTTCTTGCCATGGCAAAATCCCATGCTCGGCACTCATCAACGTGAAAAAATGTGATGCTTGATCCACTAATCCCTGCTGCCTAGAAGCATTCAATATGCTCAAGAAGAATATGGCATCTGGAGCGCAATCGCCCTCCAATTCCATATCCCGGAAGATACCCATGGAGTCTTCGCGGTGATGTCCTCCGTGAGCAAACGAGGAGACTAACGTCGACCATGAAACTACGTCTCTCTCTGGCATGCGATCAAAGACATTTCTCGATGTTTCTAATTGCCCATTCGTGGCATATGCTGTTATCAAAACGTTCCAGCACGTAACATTCCGTTCTGGCATAGCAAAGAACATAGCCTCGGCTTCCTGGAGTTTTACACTGTTTGCATAAGCTCCCACCATCGTTGACCAAACATATATGGTGGCATAAGGAAGACTCGAAACCATTGCTTCCGCTTCTTCCAAGAGCCCAGTTACAACAAACGCTTGGATCATAGCATTGCAGCACACGCAATCCTTCTCTGGTGCTAGATCAAACAAGGACTTTGCGTCTTCTACAAGGCCAGCATCGGCAAAAACCCCAAGCATTGTCGTCCAGGTTACCGCGTTCCACTCGGGCATGAGCTCCAAGAGCTTTCGAGCGTCTCCAAGATGGCCATTACGGGCATATGCCTCGATCATCGCGTTCCAAGAAGTAATCCCTTTCTCCTCGTTCGGCAAGAGCTGAAAGAACACCTCCTCGGATTTTCCCAGCTTTCCCGCCTGTGAAAACGTAGCGATCATCGTATTGCACGACACTCTGTCCCGACGTGGCATCGTACGGAACAAGGACTCCGCTGACGCGGCACACCCGTTGTGGGCATACGCCGACAGCATGGCATTCCACGTCATCATGTTACCGCCAGGTGCTGATGCGAACACCCTCTCGGCTTCCTCTACGTGGCCGTGGTGTGAGTAGGCAGAGATCATGGTGATCCACGTCACCACGTCACTCTCGGGCATCTTGTCCAGCGTAGCAGCCGCTGCTACTAACATCCCATTGTGTGCGTACGTGGCGAGGAGGGCATTCCACGTCACTAGGTCCCGGCGGCCCATGGAATCGAACGCCAGCTTTGCTCGTTGGACATCTCCCGCCTGTGACCACCCACTGATAATCGCGTTGCCAGATGCCACATCGTCTTCCCCGAGAGGTACGTTTTTCGTGGCGTCCTCTACGGATCCAGCGTGAACGTAGGCGTAGATCATGACGCTGCGCGAGCAAGAGCCATGCTCGGGCATCTCATCGAATATGCGCTTTGCATAATACAGATGCCCAGAATGGGCATTTGCTGCAAGGAACGTATTCCAGGACACAAGATCCCATTGAGGCATTGAGTTAAAAAGTAAAGTTACTTCCTCGAGTAACATGCTTTCGGCGTAAGCAGATAAAAGTATATTCCAGGAAACAATATCAGTAGCCGGCATAGTATTAAAGCAAGCTTTTGCTTTGGAAAGATATCCGCAAGCAGCATATGCTTGGATCATAGCATTCCAGGAGACAGCGTTGTGCTCGGGAGTGGAGAGAAAGAGAGCTTGGGCCTCATCGAGCCGTTGGTTCTGAGCGTACGCAGCAATCATGGTCGTCCATGTTACCACGTCACGCTGCCAAAAGGGCATAGCATGGAATAAACGCTGGGCTTGATCCAGATGCCCTGCCCGGGCATATGCTGCAAGGATAATGTTCCAGGAGAAAACATTAGGGTTCTTGATGGAATCGAATGTAGCTCTAGCATCGACAATGCTGCCACATCGCGCGTACATGGCAACGCAGAGATTTGCGAGAATGATGCCACTCCCGTGAGCGATCGAGTCGTGAATCCGGCTGTGGATACGCTTCGCGCGCTCAAGATCCGTGCACGATTGGAGAAGGCGAGCTAGATCATCGTGTGAAGGGGCTCTCTTGGATGGAATTTGGACAGGCATCACAGATTTCTTGAAGAAGTGCCCAGCTCATGGTCGCGAAGAACCCTACGAATTTAGTTTTGCTAGGGTAGAGAGATGAGGCCGCGATGACGATGGCGAGCGATGTTACGCTCGTGCTACAATCAGGTAAGTAGCAGCTCCAGGAATTTCCAGTCGCGATTCGCGAGCACAAGGGCCAAGATTTCCAAGAAGATCGACGTGGTTGAGACGATCGGCCGCGTTCTCAGTGGGGGATGGACGCCCGACACGGCGAAGAGGCTCGAGGGTCTAAATGCTGGCCTTGTAGAGCCCCAGCATGCCGTGGAGGTCGTGAAATCCATCAAAGATCGCCGAGTAGCGCTCAAGTTCTTGAGCTGGGTGGAAGGCCAGCGCGGTTACTCTCATTCCAGCGTCTCCCTCGATGCCCAGAAGAGAGTCGTGAACCAGCTCGTTCAGCAGATCCAGCAGCGCGGCCCGGGCTTCTTGGACGTGGACGAGGAAACTTTCAAGCTCGTTCTTCACAGCTTGGTGAGAGATGGTCGATCCAAGCTTTTGATACCGGCTTGCGAGGCCATGATCGCGGCAAAGAATGGTTTCATGGCTGAGAAGGACGTCCACAACGTTCTTCTCGAGATTCTCGTCGCGACGAACTCCACGGACAAGGCCTTGGACGCGTTCAAGACGATGGTAGCATCCAACTTTGCTCCTCGATCCTCGACGACGCTGGAGAGTTTGATCCAGCTCCTCGCAGCGAAGCCGGAGGAGCGTCTCGCAGAGATCGAGAGCGTGCTAGACTGCCTGGGATCCCAAAAGGTGGCCGTGGAGTCCAAGACTTGGTCTGCCGTCGTTGCAGCGTTTGGGAAAGCCGGAAAGGGAGTTCGCGTCTACGAGATCTTGAAAAGAATGAGCAAGGCCAAGTGTGCTATAGGTGGTGACGCTTATGACTTCGTCGTGCAAAGCTTGGCTAAAGCGGGGATGCTGGCACAGGCACTGGAAGTCTTCGAGACGATGAAGAGCGAGTCTTGCGTACCGTCACTCGTGACTTACAACGTCCTCATCAACAGCCGCTGCAACGCTGGTGAGTTTGGAAAGGCTCTCGATCTGTTCCAGAGTATGAAACGCGAGAAGAGAGTGGAGCCGGATAGATGGACTTACAACACTCTCATATCCGGGCTTTGCAGCTCGGGGAACACCGAAGGAGCCAGGAAGCTTTTGTCCGAGATGAGAGACAAGAACATCGCGGCCAACGTCTTTACTTACAGCTCCATCATCAAGAGCCTGGTGAAGGAGGCAAAGCCCGAGGAGAGCTACAAAGTTTTGGAAGAGATGATGGCAGCCGGGTGTAACCCCGACGTGTTTGCCTTCAACGGCGTCATGCAAGGCTTTGCGAGGTCCAACAACATGGAGAAGGCGAGAGAAGTATACCAACATATGGTGGAAAGCGGATACAAGCCGGACAACGTCTCGTACCACATTCTCATCCACGGCCTCGCAAAGATCGGCAAGCTTGACGAGTCCTTGAAGATCCTGTCCGAGATGGTGATGAGAGGACAGACGCCGTCCATGCAGGCGTACTCGAGCCTCGTTCGAGCGCTAGCCAAGGCACGGAGAGTCGACCACGCAAGCAGCCTGTTCGACGAGATGATTCGAGGCGGCCACCACCCGGACAGACTTATGTTCTACGAGCTTATACTCGGCCTCTGCCAAGCGGGGAAGGTGAAAGATGCCTCGGAACGCTTCAAGCAGATGCCCAAGCACGGCTGCCAACCAAACGTCCCCGT